AGTAATTTCAGTCGATTATGTTTGGTCAGACCAAAATGACCGGTTCAGACTGAAGTCTTGCTACTATTGCGGTATAAAACACAAAAGCAATGTATTCTCTGTTTCCATGACAGCACGCAACGTTTTTGTATCCCCATTTTCATTGATAGTGGTCTGATTGAGTGACATGAATTATGCATTTATGAACAATATTCCTCAATTGATTTGATTTGAAATTTTCAAATCATCGCATATTCATCAATGATTTCTTTTTTAATTGGGTTAATATGCGCAAAACGTTTCAGGTATGCGATAATAGTAGATTTTTTTCCCCCTTCCTCAGTCAATATCGTAAACATGGATATGTCATGTATGTATGATGGCACGTGTTGAAGCAGGGACATTTCCCCAGATTTAGGTATATTTGCAGGTACGAAGTGTTATTGAATATTTCAAAAAATTAGGAAATACTGGAAGGCCCGTGTGATGGGGCTTCAGCAAAAAATAAAAATAATTTTACACTTTTGTTGTACTCTCCTCCAAAAAAAGCACAAATAATTTAATCTCAGTAAATATCTAAAAATAGCATTATGTCAAATATCTTCGCACACAGATTTTTTTATTCTATATACAGTTGTGTTCTTCATCTAAGTGGTGTTCATCATTTAATTTATGTTTCTCATTTTAAGACATTATTTTACAACAGTTGAATAGAACTTATAATAGTATTTCTTCCGTATCTTATGCTTGTGGCAGATTTTAATTGGAATTCTGAATAACCTTCGACCTGATATGAAAGTGAATTACCAACACTTTATTTTCAAATATCTTGAAATTTTGGACAATAAATTAATAATATAACAGTTAAATCAAAAACATAATTATCTCAGTTAAAGAAATTACAAAATAATTACAAAAAATATTTTTCATTTTAAGACATTATTTTACAACAGTTGAATAGAACTTATAATAGTATTTCTTCCGTATCTTATGCTTGTGGCAGATTTTAATTAGAATTCTGAATAACCTTCGACCTGATATGAAAGTGAATTACCAACACTTTATTTTCAAATATCTTGAAATTTTGGACAATAAGTTAATAATATAACAGTTGAATCAAAAACATAATTATCTCAGTTAAAGAAATTACAAAATAATTACAAAAACTATTTTTTAATCAAAGACAAAATTATCAAAGCTGAATTGTGTCGACTTTTGTCCTGTGATTTTTTATCTGTGACTTTTTGTCCTGTGACTTTTTGTCTGTGACTCTTTGTCTTGTGACTTTTAGTCCTGTGACCTTTTGTCTTTGACTTTCTGTTTTTCATACATTTCGGACACTGGATATATATTGTATTACATAATCGTTTGGAAGTAAAAGTAATGAGAAAAGATGACATATTGTTTTGTATACATTTTGAGAGTGGTGTTTTTTATTAAAGATGTTGATTTATCGTTACTTAATTTGATATGTGCAAAATAAATAATTTATTTTGATTAAGTATTGGTCTTCATGCTTTTCAATTTTATATACTATCAAAATCATTACATTAGTAAATTAATGCAGTTAATCCTTTAAAAATACTATATATGAGTTGAAGCGGATAGAAAGCGACCTTATACAAATGAATATCAATACATATGTTAACCTATTTCAGGTTGAAAAATGTCTATGGAAAGTATGTAACTGTTTGAGAATTGAGTTGTTAAAAGAACCATACAAAACAGATCATAATTTCTTTTCGTACTTAAATGTTTCAAATCAATCAAAGTCTTATACATGTACATGTATACGTGCATTTGCATAAGGTCGATTTCTATCCGACCCAGGTCATAATCCTCATGTTTTCCAATTTTATATAATATCAAAACATTACATCAGTAATGCATTGATTCCTATTACCATAATATTTATGTTATTCATGTAAACTATTTTGGAAATTTATGAAGAAGTGTAGACATTGAAACCACATATCATCAAAGCTTTGACCTTCTTTAGCACTACGGGGTATTTTACAGCCGTTTACAATCAATAAGAACAATACGAGTCAAGGATTTTTTTTGATTTGCAACACCTTTAAAAAAACAATAAAAAAGGAATAATTTCTTGAAAAGTAGTTTCAATTAGTACTAATGGAAACTTTTCTCGAGGGGAATATTAAAAGTTGTTTAAAGCTCAATTTCGCATTGAAAATTATTTACTTCGTGTTTCAGAGTACAAACTAGAACTTTCTAGATTTCGCGTTTTGAGAACAAGAAATTTTAAAATTCCTATAGACACTTATCAATGGTAAAACATCTCTACAACTGATCTTTTTTTAGCCAACAGTAATTTACTTATGTTTCAACCTCTTAAATCGATTAAGAAGATACTTCTCCAGGTAACAAACAAAAACTGAGGGAAATCGCATCCCATCCAAAAGGAGCATAGCCGGGTGTTTCGAACGGGTAAGCATGTCTTACTATGCATGCATCACCCGCCATGCGAATCCACCTTTAGTCAAACATATACTCGGGAATATACCACACTCTGTAAAACTACAGATTAGAGGAATGTTCTGGTATCTGCAGATCTAGATCTAATACCGCGAAAAAATGTCAATAGTGAATAATATCGGTCAATGAATTCGTGGTGGTGACGTAAACTCGTGTATTTCGGTAGTTCTTTCTCATAACTCTGTTAAAGTCCGTATAGTGTGCAAAAGTGTAAAATACTTATTGAGACAAGCAAACACCGTACGGTATGATGGAGGATATGTTACTGTTCAGAAATTGGAGGTTGACAATTGGAAAGTTGAAATCATCACGTTTGTCAATGTTTTTAGTTTGAAGTCAGTCATCTGTGTCAATATCGAGGAAAATATTGAAATATGAAGCAGACCTCCGAGTGATGTAAATGTTCCTTGCATGTATGATATGAATGTGTAGGTGATGAATGTCATTATTTATAAACATACTATGACAATGATATTAGTATTACTGAATAATTGAGCCAGAAATACATCGTAATTGAGTTACGAGATTTGAACAACTGCGAAGTTTCAAGATTTATATTATCATCAGTAAAAGTTGATGGTTTAGATCCCTTTTATTCAAATTAACATACAGGACACATATCTGGTGCATCAAGTTTCGACTTTTTCAATACCTATTTGTTAATGATGATGTCTTTACAAATATTCGAAATCATTGCACGGATCGAAATTCAAACACTATTTTACGTAGGTTTTTGACTTCAGTAATTTTTTCTGATATGGATAATAAAATAAAGAGTTTATGATTGCCATACCAATCTTTTAAAAACTATTTTATCTTTACAGAGGTTTATAAAGCGTCAAGGATTACTTATATCATGACTAATTTTTGTTTTGTCCAAACATCTGTGTTGGTGGTAGATTTCCTAAGTGTCTTTAAAAAAAATCATAATTTTCTAGAATTGGACAGACACAGAACTCGACATATGATATAATCACTGGTATATGGTAAAAGACTCTGAGTCGGTCTCTCGGTGCCTTCTCTGTTTCTATTGTTGGCGACGTGTCATCGACGTATAATTCAAATGTTTGTCTTCTTATCTTTCTTACTAAGTGCTCATCTTGAATCAGCCAAGAATCAGGCTAAGAATCAGGCTGTGGTGAAAATTGGCAACCAATAAAACCAACTCAAGTTTACGTTGATTTAAGTTCAAAATATATAATGGTGTACGAATATAATAATCGGTTCTTTTTTTCCTGCTCTGGTATTTGAAGATATGATTTGTTTGGAATGCACTAGAAATTACCTATTCAGGGGAGCTAACTCCGTTATTTGCTATCATTCTACCTAGAGATGCAGAAACGAAGGTCTACCATGTCTAACTCAGGATGAGAGTTACTTCAAAATAGGATGGTTAGGTCGGCTGGTTTTTTTCGGCCATGTTTGGAAATTCTTCTAAACTGCTAGATCCTTACAAAGAATGGCACTTAAGACCGTACGTTGACCTGAATATCTAGTTTACTTTTTTGTGTTTTGGGTCTAACAAAGTGGCGGGAGATTTAAAGGAGACATTCAAACTTTTAAGTCGTAGAGAACCTGACTTTGCGAAAGACGACAAAAAAGTAACCAAGTCCAAAATCACTTCATAGAAAACTAAAAAATTGAGCAACACGAACTCCGCTTATAATTGAGTAATCTCAAGTGTTGTTGAAGGGTAATCATATCCTACTCCACAAGTGGCACCCGTCATGTTGCTCATGGTAAAAGAGAGGCTAAAGATACCGACGGAACATTCAAACTCATAAGTCGAAAATAAACTGACACAGTACACAACACACAACATTGAAAAATAAAAACTAAGCAACAGAACCCCAAAAAAATATGGGGGTAATATCAGGTGCTCCGGAAGGGTAGAGAGATCCTGCTCCACATGTGGCACCCGTCGTGTTGTTCATGTTAGTAAAAGTATAAACCCGGTGACAAGTCTAATTCGGTAGGTCACATTCGGGGAAATGGGGACTGGATTGTAGTTACGACAATTGAAACATGTCCGTTGTCATCTGTGAAAAAGATATTCCATAACGTCAACCACCTAGTGATTGCGTCAGTAAAATTTACGAAGTGATGATTTTAAGTAAACATTCTAACTGATTTATAACACAACTATCCGTTTTTTATGTCAGTTTTGTTTTACAAAGCAACCATTTGAATTGCGTGTTCTGGTCTTTCATTTGTCGCATAAATTTAGCTACCGAGGGAGATTATTCCCTGTGTACTATTTTTATTATGCTCTAAAATTCTGATTGAAAATACAGCTAAATTTTATAGAAATAATGAACTATATTCAATTATTAATGATAATTTTTTTTTAAATTGAATTGACGTTCTTGCATTTTATGTTTCTTAACATGTTGTGAACACTGATGCCATTTGAGGTAAATCAGATATTTTATAAAACTTGCAGTTGTCTAATTTCAAATGAATGATATGATTTGTCAGGTTATCAACAGATATAATTGGATTATTCTCTAAAATACAAAATAGAATATTTTCTGTATGTTTTTATTAAGTTTAAAAACAATTATTCTATGCACATTTGTAAACAGTATTTATGTACAATAATTACATTTAAATCAAAGCTCAAGATGAGATGACATGGTACACATCATATGCACCAGTATGCCTGTATAACAATGTTATTCATCTTATCATGCTTATGCAGTTGATTTTTCCAATCCTATGTAAGGCTTTGATCAGTATTGTATTTGTAGGTCTTGGAGCTTTCTTCTGCTGCCAGATCCGTAAGATTTCCTTCGTCTGATTCAACAGCTTGTCCTTGTGTTCGTATTGTATGTTGTGTATTTCAGACATAGTTAAGTTTAGTTCTACACCTAACTGCATACTACTGTTTCCGATATGGTTTGCCAGACAGTGCAAAGTAGCGGTAGATGGTACTTTGTCCATAGTATCAACTGAAATTCCTTAAATGGAAATAGATACATTAAGTTTGAATTTAAAATTGCAAAAAAAGAGGTAGGCGATATCAAGGGGACATTCAAAACTCATAGGTCGATAAGAAATTGACAATGTCATGTTAAAACCGAAGTCGACGCGACGACAAGTCCAAAAACACTCCACAGAAAGCTAAATATGAGCAACACGAATCTTTGAGATAATTTTAAACGCTCACCCTATGTTACATGATTAGAAAGGCCAGTATAAGTTTTTACAACCAATTGGTCCTCACAAAAAAAAAATCTTATTAAACGGCTGACAAATGTAATCCTAACTTAATTAACATAAACGATTCTTTCGGCGTCTTCTTTCACAAATATATTCCTTGATCTTGTCGATAAATCACGTATCTGTATAGTAAAAGCCATTACTAAAATTAAATTAAAATAATCCAGAAAAATTCTGAAAGGTTTATACAGATGCCGCATTGGGAGGGAGGGGGAGAATAAGTAGTAGGTCTTCAATAGGATTCTCTTACATTTACGATTATCCACTAAAAACTTAATTCTCATGGGACCGCCATCGTCATTGAAAATCTTTCATGATTGAATTATTTCAGATCTTTAAGAAAACATTTATTCCTATTTTGATTTAGTCTTTTTACAATGAAAACGTCAGAAAATACAGATTAGACTCCTCATAGGGTTTTTGGTTATGTGATTACTTTTTTTAGTGATTATTTGATTACCAGACCAAATATTTCATGATTATTTGATTATTTGATAATCTAGGACTTTATTTTTGATTATTTGATTATCTTGTTTAAGAAAATTATTAAGGATTATTTGATCATATTGGCAAAAAAAATGTGATTATGTGATTACTTGGACACCCCCATGAGGACCTCACAGATGCGTAGATAGACGATATGATAGTTATCATCCGGTGGTGATTATTTCGAGCATTTTCTGGTCTCTCGTTTGAATATCATATCAATAAACCCTGATACGAACTACAGATACAAGCAACGTCGAGTTCATGACATACAAGCAACCGTTTGTTAGAGGACATGACATTCTTACTTCAAAATAAATAGTCTGAATAAACGTTGCACGATAAAGGCAAATATAAATTATAATGTATTTAGTTTGACCTGGAATTGAAGGGAATCGAACCAAATACCTTCCATTTTTTTATGTGAGCACGATAGCATGAGGCATTTAGCTATTTCAATCAAACTTGGTCTTGTCTACAACAAACTAAAGGTGGAAAGCATATATAGGAGGTTAAAACACGAATGTTTGTCTTTTAATTTGCTAAACGTGCTGAAGAAAATAATGATTGGTAAATGACTGTAATTTTTCCTTTAGAGTTGCGATGAATGACATTTTTATTACTTTTATAATATCAAACATTTGTCATTACTGAATCAAAATAACATGTAGAAGACAGGTAACGGCAAAAGCTCTTCGCAACTTATAGTCTTATCATACTTATTGTGTTCATTATGTTTGATTAACATATTAAACGATAACAAATATACTGCACCAGATGCGCATTTCGACAATTTACGTCTCTTCAGTGGTGCTCGAAGGCAAAATAAATATAACTTCAGTTATTCAGAAGACTTTTCAATAAGGTTAATGTTAAACGAAAATAACACGTTGAATAATTTCATGCGTCCAAAGTGCTTTTGTGGATTAATCGTCATCAGGAACGCCCAAAACCCAAACATTTGACATTTAAGAATTTAAGAATGTATAAGAGCTGAACACGTAAGGAGCTATATCATGTATATGACGAAAAGGGACTTTCTCGGAGGAAAATAGAACCTTAGTTTTAAAATATTTTCCTGATCTATTCAAATGTTAAATAATCATACGACCATGCTATGTCGTAAAAATCTCAAATAACATGTTGACTCCATGTTTAAACACTGGACACTTTTAATTTGCAAAACACTCATTTGCAAATCCGCCGCCGCCTCTCCTTAGAGCTACAGTGTCGTGTATGTAACCAAAATGTGCGGAATTACATTGGATTCAATAAATTCATTGCTTTTCTGCTGTTATTATTATATATATTTTGTAATTTGATTTAGAAAAAACATGGGATTTTCAATATCCCATGGGATAGGGCAAATCCCATGGGATTGACCATTATCCCATGGGATTTTGGTTAAATCCCATAGGATTTTTTTGGGTCCCATGGGATAATTGTAGTCCCATGGGATATTTGTTGTCCCATGGGACTATAATTATCCCATGGGATTTTTAATATCCCATGGGACAAAATAAAATCCAATGGGATTCAAATTATAAATATACAGTAATGTGTATGTTACAATGAATTCTGTTTGGTAGTAAATTGTTTTAAGATGAATCTTTTTAGTTGAATAACTTTTTTTCCTTGGAAATGTTAATGCAATTATATTGTTCTATAACTGTTCAAAACTAAACTTTTAAACAACAAAGCAGATAATGTAAGTATCAATATATGTTTATTTATGAATTCTATAATACTTTTTTGAAACACAATTTTTTCCCATTTGGAATCAATGAAAACTCTATTATTAGGCTTAACATACTAGTAGCTTTTTACATAAATCTCATTTTTCTTCAGGATATCCCTCCACCCAAAAAAATAATAGTTTCTTATCATCCAGCATTGTGTGATCGTAATGTATAGTCCACTTTTTGGCCATTCAGCACAGAACATTGTCGTTATTGTGGTTTTAATATCTTTAGATATTTAATAGAACTTCGATTCATTGACTGAGTGATGAAAATAATAACTGATCTGACTTTTGTCTTTGAATTTATTCTGGTCTTGTTTCTGTGTTTTCTCCTTGTATTCTAAGTGATGAATTTCAATCCTTCTGAAAAAGAACCAATAAAATCCGAAGTTATGGATTTTAAAAAATTGTTTGCATACATGTAGCAATAACATATGATTTTCAATAAAAATAGCTATGCGGTATGGATTTTACTGATTGTTGAAGGTTGTCCAGTGTCATCAGTTGCTAATCTTCTACATTCTTTGGTCTCTGATGGAGAGTTGTTAAAATTAGCAATATACCACATCTTCCTATTCTAATATTATATAACAATCAATTTATGTATTCTTCTTTATAACATTTGGGTATTTTCCCCAGTTATATATATATATATATTTATAGATCAATGTTAAAACTTAAGGCAATTACAATAACATTCCATTTTTCACAAGAATTTGCAATATACTTATATAATACAAAACGCCAACAATTGAAACAGCACTTCTTTAAGCTTCTGAAGTTCTGAAAGAGTTCCACTTGTGTTTTATTTCAATGAGAAAATACCTTGAATTCTTTGGACATGTTTGAAATTATAACATTGATACAAAAAATTATATTGTTTTTTTTTCTTATTTTTGTGTTGTTCGGTTTACTGTCTCATTTTTATATATGGTTATACATATATCCTGAATCTTCTTTTTGTTAATACTTAATTATTAATAGTCAAAATGGGATATTTTTTATTTTGATAATCTCAAAACATTATTATTCTATCAAATAACTTATTTCCAAGTTCACAAAACACCATTGTGTCAGATATTATTTTTAAGACATGTATAAACATGATCAACAAGCAGTTGACAGGATGTCATGCAAAAATCTCACTAATATTAAACTTTCACAAAAACTCCATACTCAGCGAGTACTATTAAAGTTCTTAGTACAGGACAAATTCCTAGTACAGGACACCATGCCTGGCAAACACTAGCATGTGTCAATGTCTAGTCAATCATGTAATCAGGCTCAAAATCTTAGTTTGGCACTGAATTTAAAAGTTCACCACATAATGAACATGTGTATGAAATTCAACTTCATGGTAAGCTATGTACCTTAACCTAAAACTTTAACCTAAGAATGTACTATAATTTCACATTATGACATTTCTATGTTCAGTGATCCATAAAATCAGGGTAAAAACAGTAAATGTGGTGCATAATGTATAAACAAGAGTGCACACGCTGAAATGTTGCGCCTTCTTTACTAATCATTGATATCATGTTGATAGTCCTAAATATAAAGCTTTACTACAACTATCACATAAACTAAACATGATCCAAGAAAATGAATTCAAGGTCATATAAACCCGACAAGAAATACATGTACACCTTACAATCATTCAATATACTAAATACAGTTGACCTATTGATTATAGTTTCTAAGAAGCAGACTTAACCAAGAAAAATAAACATTGACCAATGAACCATGGAAATGAGGTGAAGGTCAGATGAACCATGCCAGGCAGACATGTACAGCTTACAATCTTCCATACAACACATATAGTTGACCTATTGCATTTAGTAATAGAAAAAAAGACCAAAACTCAAAAATTTAACTTTGACTACTGAACCATGAAAATGAGGTCAAGGTCAGATGACACCTGCCAGCTAGACATGTACACCTTACAATTATTCCAAACACCAAATATAGTAGACCTATTGCTTATAGTATCTGAGATATGGACTTGACCACCAAAACTTAACCTTAAATATAAAAAAGAAGATGTGGTATGATTGCCAAGGAGACAACTCTCCACAAGAGACCAAATGACACAGAAATTAACAACTATAGGTCACCGTACGGCCTTCAACAATGAGCAAAGGCCATACCGCACAGTCAGCTATAAAAGGCCCCGAAATCAGGGCCGTAAATTGCCTGTCTTGTAAGGGGAGGCAGTTGAGTTTTTTTTTACCCATTATAAGCAAAAAATGATATTTTTTCGGGCCTTTTCCCTGTATGCAATGTACCTCCTCAGAATTCACCACTTGTTAAATTTTTGTTATATTTCAATAAATAAGCGCCTGGAATATATTGAAAATAGTTATAAACCAGAGTTAGATTACGTGTGCCGGTAAAGTAAGATTTTTTACGCTTTACGCTTCATCCTGCTTTATGACTCTTCGCAAGCTATTTTTACTAATTTTTAGGGAAAAAATTTGCGAACTTAAAATGAAAGGCCCCCTAAAGTTGAGC